TTGAGATATGTTATTGAAATGCTACCAGTGAGCCTGATGTGTTAATAAGCATTTGTTTGTTTCTCTAGGATTATGTCATTGACTCCAACTGGCGCTTCAGAAGCACAGTGATGACTCCCATGTTTGTTGAAACCCAAAGCTCTCAAGAGAGTGTGGTGACCTCTCAGTCGGGAGTCATGAAGGGGAAGCTCAGAGCCACTCAGACATCCCTGGTGTTCACCCAAACCCAAACATCAGGTACAGCTGTAGATCGCTATGCCAATATTAGTGCAACAATATAAGATGCAGTTGCACTAATATTGGCATAGCAATATGCGAGACGCATAAGCGGAGGAAAATGGATGGATAGATGGATATAAGATGCGGTCTTGGATCAGTCACTCAAAGATCTTTCTGTAAATCTTAAGTAGTGGGAGAAAAGGCTCACACTTTGTTGTGTTTTCATATATTTGCAATGCAAATATACTTCATTTGAAATGGAATCATTTGATTATAAACACAAATTTTTGGTGAAGAGAAATGTTAACTTCTTGTTTGTTTTTTACCCAGGTCGACGTACAGCCTACAACTGGCTAACGGGCAGCACTGTGGATACTCTAGCAGAGTACACTCCTGGCTCTGAAGCTCTGTCTTCACTGTTGGTGTTCAATAAGAAAGCAGAGGGACAAGCTACAGCCAGGAGACCAGTAGGAGAGGGATTTGGCCTGAGGCGCCTTACTGCATCAACCACTGAGGTGGACAGTCGCACTAGAGGTTAATGTGAAAAACGTACATTTTGAATATGGAGTATTAACATGCTTCACATTCATAAAGGTGTATTAGCTAAGGTTTTACACATTGTCTGATGAACCCAGTGACAGTACCTGGTGTCTCTCCGTTGTACTACACCCTGCTGCCCCCAGCCCTTCTGTTGTTATTCCAGCTTCTCCGCCCTGTGTTGTCAAAGTAGGGTCTGTAAATTAGCCCTGCCTGCTGCCTAGCCAAGGTTAGATTGAGTGTTTTTACCACCACCAGTAGTCATTTCAAATAGCCAGCCATAGAAGAGCTCTGGGCAGCTACAAGTCTGAAACTGAAATCTTGACTGCCAAAGCACAGAGGTGCCATTGTTTTGCACAGACAGACGGAGTGGGACAAAGAAAGAGCAAAAACCAGTGTTAACATCAGTTTGGCTTTTTGACACGGAGAGTGTTTAAAGCAGCTAGAAGACTCGTATTTGATCCAGATGTGATGTTCTTCCTTCTGGTTGTGTTACCATCTAAAGCTAATGTATCTATTTTGGTAACATTGTCCACCTAGCATGGTCCCGATTTTACCTTTGTGTTGAATTAATATGATTGCTTTGTGTCCTTAGCAGTAACCAGAGAGTTCTACTGGACTGAGACATTTACTGTTGGTCAGCTAACAGACCGGAGGCTGCATTTTGTACAGTTTAGGGTCCTGGAACTGTTTTTATTGGGTCGCCATTTGACAGAGTAAAATGCATAACAATGCTAGGATGTGTTCATTCATTTTCCAAATCAAAACAGAAAAAGAGCGTTCTTTTTTCTACACGAGTCTGTGTGCAAGGCTCGCTCTCTCTCACCTGCTCTCTCCCTTATCAGCCTGATCTCAGCAGGCCCCAACTGCCCACTGAAGTTTGGACATTTTCACAGAGGGCTGATAAGTTTTTCTCCCAAACTGCTTAGATATTATACAGCCTGTAGTTACAAGTCAGATTTATTTATACCGCACTTTACAACAGCCGACAGGTTGACCAAAATGCCTTACATAACAAAAACAAAACACAAATCAGTAAATACAAAACACACTAACATACAAATCCAATATCAGCTCAACTAGAACAATTGAAAGCAAGTTTAAAAAATTTTGTTTTAAGTTCAGATTTAAAAGAATAAGCTGAGCACTAGTGGCAAAGCTTTCCATAGCTTCAGGGCAGCAACAACAAAGGCGCCGTCTCCCTGTCTCTTACACCCAGTTTATCATGCTTCTCTGACAGGATGCTCTTAAGAGTATTTACGGGTTGCCAAAAGTTCAGTGAAATAAGATGCAGGGAGGCCATTCAGTGCCTTATAAACAAATTTTAAAATCAATCATAAAACAAACAGGGAGCCAGTGAGAAAAGCACAAAATAGGATAAACATGCTCATATCTGGAGGAGTAAGTCAAAAAAGAAGCAGCTGCATTTTGTAGCAGCTCAAGGTGAGAAAGGAGAGAGTCCTACATAAAGCACATAAAAATAATCAAGCCTCAACCTGATAAGTGCATGAATAGTGTTTCAAGGTCTTTCCGACTGAGAAAGGACCAAACCTTAGAGCACAAACACAGCTGGAAAAGGCTGGTTTGTACCACAGAACTAATCTGTCAAATTTCAGATTATTGTCAAAATGTATTAATCATAACATGAAATTTCTCATTTCACATACAACTCGTGAGTCAGGTATGTAACACTGAACACGATGCGATAGTGGCTGGAACATTAGTGCTTTATCACTGGGGCTAAAAACATTCCTCTGTATGATCTGCTTGTGTTTCTGCAGATACATCTGCTACAAACAATGTAGCTGCCTGTGTTAAGGCTGGTCTGTCCTTTTTGACTGTCATGAATATAACATTTGATGCTGTTGTCAGACAGTCCGAGTGATCTTTGTTTGTTATAAGCTGGTGAGAAATTTAACCGTTTTAACTGTTGGAAGATTCACTCAGGATTCTTATTTGAGCTGGGAAACTGAAATACAAGCTGTAGGTTCTATGTTGATCTGCTTTTGCAGTCACAGCCTCTGTGCTGACTTCATTTGCAGGATGATCATTGCTTCAGTCCTGTCATTCATACCTCGATGTTCTGTTGATCTCTGGAGCAATCACGGTGAGGTACATGTTGCTAATGTGATTATCTTTTATATCTACGGATCAACAGCAGAAAATGAGCAGCGTAATAACATCCTAAGACTGAGACGCAGATTTCTCAAAGATCAGGAGAAAGTCAGCTTGAGTTATGCCCAAAAGGAGATCCGACAGCAACGGCAGAAAAAGGTAACAGCCATCCAGCAGCCAATATACTCATCCATATTTATTCCTTGTGCTGTAAATGTTTTAATGCTGAATGGCAGCACAAAAATGTTTCAACATTGATTACTGTATAGTCAAGTATTCACCTGTCACAAAATTATTTAAACTGGAAGTGTCCCTAAAGTTCAGCCATCTGTTGGGTGTCCCACAGGAAGAAAAGGCTGATAAAAGGCTGCGAAAAGAGGCTCAGGTGAGTCTCTATCGCAGCTACAGAGTGGGAGATTTCCCAGACATCCAGATCCAGTACAGTAGTCTCATTGCCCCTCTACAGGCACTGGCCCAGGTAAGACTGCATTTGCTTTGTGTGTCCCTGCACTTGTAAATAAACTAGCACGAAAGAGAGAAAACTTTCCTCCTTCCATCCTTGGTTCTTTTTATGCATGTTCCCTCTAGAGAGACCCGATTTTTGCCAAACAACTGTTCAGCTCCCTGTTTGCTGGTGTCCTCCAAGAAATGGACAAACGCGACCCAAGTAAGAGTGAGAGTGTTAAAGAGGAGCTGCGGTGCAACATGAATGCTTTCCTGAGCAGGAGTACACTCTGCTTCCCCCCTTTCATAGCATGTGTACAGGTACGACACTCAACAACAGCTAGTAAAGTCCTGAACTGATAAAATTACAGTTCCGTTCCCTGATGGTGTCAAAATGAACATAGTCCTCATAATAACTGCTGTACTAATATATTTATGTCCAGTGAGAAGGGCTAATTATGACTTAGATTAGGATGTTAAACCAGGTTTTAGGATCTTTGCATTAATTTTACAGTTCTCTCTGGAGTGTAGAGAGAAACACAGTACTGTGTTCTCTTCTGTGCTTGTGTTTTCTACATTATTAGTAGTTTTTGCATTTACAGAAAAATACATTGTAAGTGTTTGCTTGCAATGCTTTGAAGTTGTGATGCAAAACAAGGTTGTAGTCAAGCTGTTCACCTCTGTCAACATCCTTGCTTGTAAAAGGCTTGATTACTAAAATCAAAGTCAAAGCTCTGCTTAATGCTTCAAGCTACAGTGAAAACTGATACTCTGCTGGTTGTTTTGTCAGGACATGTGCTTCCAGCATAAGGAACTGCAGCAGCTCGATCCAGCAGCCGTCAGCTCCACCAGCATTGTGAGTGTGCAGCAGCCATCGGGCATCCTGCTGCTGGAAGAGAGCTTGCTGCACACCGCTGTCCAAGATGAACCTCCAGCAAAACGACCACGCGGACGTAAAGATATCCACATAGACACCAAAAAATGGATCCATCTTGCAAAGTATTGTACTGCTAGTCCTACATGTCATTGTAGTTGAGTGTTATAAACAGAGTAAAATACTTGATCATCTTTAGTGTTTGGGTGTTCTGTTGTCATCTTGTCATGTCATGAGGAGATTATAAAGGTCTCAGGGAGGTGCGTTGTGCACATTGAACAGTAAAGCAGGTCTTCTCATACATAGGCCAAGTTCCTCATACCTGCACTGAAGATGCTGTGTATAGCTAATCAGATACAGACAGTAATGAATTGTATAACGATGTCAGTGCAGTGACGCACCAAGGTCTGTTTTAATGCCGATTCATCTCGTCAGTTTTCCCTTTACTCTGGAGACATTCATGTGTTGCATGTGGACCTACACATTTTGTCAGATTGTTAACGTCAGGAGCCATACTGTCACTTTGGGGTGATTTTGGTTGTTTTTTTTTAGATGTAATGCTCAGCGTGCTCTCCTGTCTCTCTCTCCTCTAGGCTTTACAGGTCTTTGGGTGATTATGATGTCATGCGCAGCATCTTTGGTGGTAAAGTTGGGACCAAGTCAGTCACCAGTGAAGCGCTTCAAGCTGAAGCAAACAGTGACTTTGCTGAAGCTGTGAAGCTTTACAATGAGGTACAGTCAAGGGTTTCTTCCATGACAGTAGAAACTGGTGGTTTATTTGTGCTGTGATTAGATTTACTGTAGAAGTTACTGTCGAAATAAAGAAATGTGGCAAAGTGCTTAGGTAGCATGTCAGTGCAGTGTTTCACCTTTACTAGTATGTAGTATTAGGCATCCAGGTTTTAGGCAGAGAGAAATACAGACTGTCTTGCTTGCTGACAGGCTCTCAATACTGAGGACTGGAGTGATGGTGAGCCCACTGACTCTGAAAAGGACTTCTGGGAAATGGCTGCTATGGAATCCTACAGTCATTTGACTGAGTGGAAGTCACTGGAGTACTGCTCCACAGTGAACATAGATGAAAACTCCCCACCCAACCTTGACAAAATGTGGTCAGAGCCTCTGTACCAGGTAACAGAAATGACCAAACTCTTTATCTTTGGTATTAAAATACTGCTGTGAGAATTTACACCCAACTTTGACAAGAAAAACAAAATAATTCTCATCACTGAGCACTGGAGCCAGACATGTGATGCAGTGCAAAAATGTAGTGAAATGTATGGATAAAAAAAAAAAAAAAAAGTTTAAGAGTCATGTTAAATGTACATGAGCTGTAGTGCTTCATCAACGTAACTCTTTTGCATTTGTGCCAGGAAATGTATCTCCCACACATGATGCGCAGCATGTTGAAACAGCTGCAGCTGGGTGAGAGGGACCAAGCTCTTCTTAGCTTTGTTGACAAAGCCATGAAGGTGGAGGAGCACAAGAAGCTGCTGGAAAGTCACTACAGCCAAGAGCTCAGCTTGCTGTACATCCTGCAGGAGGACTATGACCGTGCTAAATACTACACCAACTATGCCATGCAGCTCTTTATGGAGGTCTGTTGTTACACATCTTTTTTGTCCATCACCTAGGTTTTAGATCAACAAACACTATTAACTTTTACTTTTAAAGGCAAAAAGTTGATGAATGTATTGTACATATAGGATATGTAGAATTTGTTTGTACTGTAAATCTCTCCATAAAGTTTATAGTGAACAGAGTAAAATGCATTTTTGGTCAGAGGCTGGGCCACAGCATGCACTCAGTGTCATTGCCTCACACAGAGCTACTCCAGTGTGGATACAGTGTTGACTGAGAGTCGGCTGAGCATCCTGCAGTCAGTGCAGGCCTTAACTGAGATCCAGGACTTCCTGCTGTTCATCAAAAGAGAGGGTGCGTGGATGTCGCCTTCCAAACTCAAACAATGAAGAACAAGTAGAATAATAGTAAAAAGTAGTAGTTTCCTCCCTAAGTTGGCTTTCTGTTATTTTTACTGAGACTTTCTTTAACACTTTCAGCACAATTCGTTTGTCCTGTGCTCAGAATTTAGTAACTCTCTGTGTATTCATTAGTGTCTGTGAGCTCCCTCAAGCAGCTCATCAGATTGTGGACTGAGCGGTATCCTGATGCTAAAGTGGATCCAGTGAATGTTTGGGACGACGTCATTACATCTCGGTAAGGACACAGTTTTAAAATTCTGCTTATAAATATATCAGATAAAATATGACAAAGCCTCAAGTTTGATTTCTGTGGTTCAGATGTTTCTTCTTGGACAAGATCAGGGAAAAGCTGAAGGGCCACCCTCCCCGTGACCTTATGGAAGCGGATGGTTCGGAAGACCCAGCATGTGATGTTGATGCACTAATAAATGACTGCAGGTTCAGCATGAAGCTGCACATGGCTGACAGTGCACTGAAGCAGGTGACCCAAACACCTTTTTATTTTCTTTTAACCAGTTTCAACATGGTTTTTTTGTGTTGTCACATTGCAACCACAAGCTCATCAGGACCTTCTAATAATGTTTCAGAATAACTTTCCTGTTGCTACCAAGCTGCTGAAGGAACTTCAAAGAGAAGCCAAAACAAACAGAGGCTGGTTGATGCAGTGGGTCCACAGTTTTAGCCACTACAGCCATAAACGCAGCCAGGCCCAAGATCCAGTGGAGCAAATCAGTGCCATGCTGAAGACCATCCCTCTCCTGGGTAAGAACTCCTGTGCTTTATTACACAGTTTTAGATTGACTTTTTATCATTTGTGAAAATTTCTAATAATGTGGTGAATTTAAAAGGTACCCTTTGGAGCTAAGTTTACATTCAGTGATACTCACCAAACACATTTTGTGTTTACTTGACGTCTAACCTCTAAATATTTGCAAAGTTTAAATCCTGCATTGTTCACAACCAAAATGTCTTGCTAACCGACTTCTTTATTGCTGTCTTTGTTGGCGTGTCCCATATTTAGCTGCCAACACATTTCAAGATCAGAGAAAATCTCCATTTAATTTGTGGTGTTGTGCTGATATAACGTTAAGAAGTACCAGTTCAAAGCTGTGATAAGGTACTCGAATAAATGCATCTGATTCATTAATGGCATGCTGGGAACCATTGAGTTTTTTTGTCAAGGATAAGTTCTGTGCAAATGTGGCTGCTAATGCTGATGGTTAAAAGTAAGTTTGACTATCTGTAAACAATCCTCTACATGTTTACTCTGCACCATCTCCATTAACTTGCAGGTGTCATCAATGTTCCTGAACACACCATTATAGCTGAGTATTTCTTATTATGTTTAATATACATCGATCGGCCACATTAAATCTACCAGGTGGCTTTAATGTTGTGGCTGATTGGTGTAACAGTTTGCTTTTTACATGTTTCATGCGTCAGAAAGGGCATCCAGCGTAAAACACGTGCCAAATGTCAACATGTGAGTCATCAGTGTGAGTATTTTGGATTAACTGGAGGCTTTTTAGGGAATTATTGGGACATCCTGATAGCAAAGAGTTGCAGTAGTCCAGCCTGGAAATAACAAATGCATGGACCAGTTTTTTAGCATCACTTTGAGACAGGATGCTCCTGATTTTGGTGATATTGTGCAGGTGAAAAAAGGCAGTTCTAGAGACTTGGTTCATGTGTGATTTAAAGGACATATCCTGTTCAAGAATGACTCCAAGGTTCCTCACAGTAGGACTGGAGGTGAGAGCTATGTCATCTGATTAGTCACTACACAATTAAATGTGCCAAAGAATGGGAGAGCATCATATGGAAGCTCAGTATAAGAGTTAAATGATGTTTATCTGTTATTTGGCCCCAAAGAGGGGGGTGTCAGGCCAGGCCATTCATTGTCTTGCTCAAGGACACTTCTACATGTGGACTGGACAAGCCAGGAATCGGACTGCTAATCTTCCGGTTAGGACAGGACCCGCTCTGCCTCCTGAGCCACAGCTGCCCTGAACTTAGCCCATGTTCAGATCAGCTATATCGGCTCACTGGTGAATGTAATGGGATCATGTACTCTGGAATAAATGGCCTTATTTTCCAACAGAAATGCAGGAACACGTAGCCTAAATGGATTCATTACTTATCAGCCTGTCCGCTGACAGCAGAGGTGGCGTTTATGCCTGTAATTCAGGAGTCATTTTGTCTGGCATTATACCTGCCTGCCACTGGGGACCTAACCTCTGGTTAGGAGGGCTACTACATGTAATGTTGACAAAACCTAGCATATGTATGGCTAGTAAATGAGGCCTTTAGTGTTAACTATTACCATTGATTTGATTTGATTTATTCATTCAAGCATGTAAAACAGTTGATATGTCAACACATGTAATTTCACACATATCCAACAATAATAATCCAATATCAATTTACTTATACCTAGTACATGCTTGAACGGAGTAGGAAGAAGTTAGACTTATCTAGTCCTACCCCATGACATCATCTTACAACTTTTAAGTCCTAAGCAATATCTCTACATAAATAATTATCCTCTACACCACACAAGTAATATACTA